GCCCAGCTAATTGGTTTTTTCTTTTTAATTTTGTAGAGATGCGGTCTTGCTCTGCTGATCAAGACCCAGTTCTGGTCTTGATCCCCTGGGCTCAAGCGGTCCTCCTGCCTCGGCCTCCCCGAGTGCTGGGATTACGGGTGGGAGCCGCTGTGCCTGGCCAACATTACTTCTTTAAGAGGCTGGGGGGCTCAAGCTGGATCAAGTCTGGTGAGAACACGCACAATCTTGTCCTCAACGTTTAGAATGTTGCCGGGCGTCAGTGTTCTGGGTGAGGACGGCTCGAGCTGGGGGCTCTGCGGGTTTCTGTGCAGGGGTGCTGTGTGGACCCCCTGCTAATGGGAAGTGGGGGGCCCAGGCCCAGCCCTCCCTGCCCACCCTGCAGCCAAGGCTGCTGCACCCCGGCGTGTGGCCAGGCCCCCCTGCTCCCCGTCCTGCTCGGGCCACTGCTAGACGCCGGGGCTCCCGGGGCAGCTGGTACTTGGAAGGTGGTTTCTGAGACCAGATCTGTGTTGTCTGCAGACACTTGGGTGTCTGTGTGTGCATGTCTATGCGTGTCTGTGTGCACGTGTGTCTGTGTGCATGTATATATCTCTGAGCATGTGTATGTCTCTGTGTACATGTGTGTGTGCATGTGCGCGTGTCTGTGCACACATATGTATACATGTCTGTGTATGCATGAGTATATATACGTGTCTGTATACATGTGTCCCTGTGTGCATGTGTATATGTGTCTGTGTACACATGTATGTCAGTGTGTACATGTGTATACATGTCTGTGCATGTGTGCATGTGTGTTCGAATGCATATGTGTCAGTGTACCCTATGTATACATGTCTGTGTGTGCATGTTTATGTCTCTGTGTACATGTGTATACATGTCTGTGTGTGCATATATATACATGTTTGTGTGAATGTGTATATGGGTCTCTGTGTGAATGTGTCCACATGCACATGTACATGCATGTGTGTGCACATGGAGGCATGCGTGTGTGCCTGTGCACATCTGTGTGCGTGTGTGTGCTGCAGGCCGCCCACGCGGCTGGTGTGGGGTGTCCTCTTTTTTCTGGCTGAGAAATGGCTGTTGCCCGTTAGAGCCGGAGCTACTAGGAGTGTCCCTGGTGCATTAAAACGCGCTGCCCTTCGCCGCCTCGTGTTGGTCCTCACCTCGCGTGGGGCGGGCGGGCAGGTGGCCCAGACTGCGGCCTAACGTCCCGTAGCCGCTGCGGAGCGGCTGACACTCGCGTGTGGGGACGTGCCCGCCCGGCAAGCTGCCAACAAGAGGGCGGCAGGGTGGCACCAGCTGCTGGGAGAGGCCCCCGGGTGGGGCGGGGCCACTCACCTGCGCACACGCGTGCAGAGGCAGGCGGGCACGAGCACCCCACCTGCACACCCACTGACACACGGTCTCACACAAACGCCATGTGTCCCAGTGCGGGGGAGGGGGCGCCCTCAGAGAGGCCGAGGGGGGCTGAGGGCATGGGGGGGCCTGGGGTGGGGGTGCCACAGCTAGGCCGGGGCCTGTCCCCCGCGAGGAGGAAAGGACACGGGTGGGGGTCCGCGTCAGGGAGGGGCCCGCACTCACCGGGTGAGTTCTTGGCTTCACACTGGAAAGAACCGAGTGCGGCCAGCTGGGGACAGAAGTTTATTGAGACGAGACAAAGACCCCACCCCGCAGACGGGGGGGGGGGGGGGGGGGGGGGGCGGGAGGGGGGGGTGGTGGTCCTTTCCCGAGCAGGAGAGCCCCGGGGACAGTGGTCCTGTCACGTGTCCAAACAGCCGTGCAGACCAGCAGCGTCAGGCCAGGCCAGGGCGGGTCTGCCCTCACAGGAAGGCGAGTCTGTGACGGGTCCTCGGGGGTCCCGGCAGCGACTTGCTGGTGACGTCCTGTTTGGGGGGGGGGGTCTGGTATGGGAGCAGGGAAACCGAGGCAGAGAGGGCTCAGGCCTTCTGGGTGTTGGGCTTGGACGCCGGGAGAAGGGTGGTTGCTCAATTGCCACCATCAGGAGGGAATGTCCCCGCAGGGTGAAGCCACGATGGGGAGGCGGAGGGGACTTCACTCTGGCCACCAACTTGGGGCAGCCAAGACTCGGGGGGCTGCACTGCAGCTGTGGCCTTGGGGACGAGCCGGTCGTCGGGGCTCCTGCTGCCATTCCTGGGGCCTGCGACAGGCTGGGCCTCCCAGGGGTCAGGCTGGGGTCAGAGCCGGCATTTTGTCCACAAACTGACCTGGCCTGGCCCAGGCCGCAGGCCCTAGGAGGGGGCAGTGGGAGCCCCACCTCGAGGCACCTGCGCCTGCTCTGACCTGGCCTGTGGGGGCCTCTCAGCCGGGGGCCGGGTGTGTGCTTGGGTGGGCAGACAGCACGGGCAAACACACGCGTGTTTCCGCCCACGGAGTCTTTATTTCTTTTCTTGGGTGACCCCTCTGGGACCCCCCGGGGCCTGCCCTGGAGAAAGCCTGGCAACCTCAGGGCCCCCGGGGGAGAGAGGTGCCCAAACAGGCTGTGGGGGGCCGGGGCCACCTCGAAACGTGGCAGTCGGCCTGGGGCCGGGGACTCCAGCCCAGACAGGCAGGTCTTGATCTGGGGGCCTCTGCCAGCCCCCAGGCGCCAGGTGCCCAGGGTGTGCCTGCTTGGGTCCTTGCCGGCCCTGTGGTGGGTCAGGCAGGGTAGAGCTGCCGGGCCAGGTCCCGCTTGTTGACCTTGCCCATCTGGTTCCGGGGGATCTCCTCCACCAGCAGGAGCTCGGAGGGCACGGCGTACGGGGCCAGGACGCCTCTGCGGAGACAAGCGCGGCCCGAGTGAGTCTCACCGCCATGTTGCCCGAGGCAGGAGCCCCGGGCCCAGGTGGGCTCTCAGCAACAGGGACAGGTGAGCTGAGCGACCGCACGGAGCTCGGGGCAGCTGGCCGCAGGAGGCGGCTGGAGTCCCGCAAATGCTCGTGCGGCGCAGACACCACGGCGTGTGCATGTGTGGGCCTTGGTCGAGGTCACGTTGAGGATGGGCCTGCCGGGAGCAACCACTGGACGGCCAGGGAAAGGCCCCCGAGCTGGAGCTGGAGAGAGCCGTACCACCCACGGCCCGTGCCCTGCAGAGCCCAGAGCACAGGGAAGCTTCCGGAGGGGCTGGGAGGTGGGGGCAGCCGCTCCATCCACACGGGGCACTCGGACACCTGGGCGAACCTCCAAGTCCCGCAGGCACCAGCCGCGCGGAGGTGACACCCTCACAGTGACGCCCTCGCGGCCTGTGGTCCCCCACACGGCACAGCCGGGGCGCCCCCTGCAGGCAGCTGGGGTGACCTCGGGACTTGAGTCCAAAAGCCAAAGTGAGCGGGCCGCTAAGAGAAAAGACCCCGGCGAGTCCCGAGGACGGGGCTTTGAAGCCTGGGGAACGTGCCACTTCCTTCTGTGACCCCGAGGGTCTGGACCCCACAGGCCGCAACGTGACAAACCCTCGGAGCAGCTCAGAGGCAGAGAGACCTCGGACGGGGTCTCTATTTTCCTCTCTTCGACAGAGTAATTGTTTAAGGAAAGCAGCGACCGGCCAACGAGACCCCTCCCTGCCTTTGTTAGGCCGCAGGGCTCCAACTGCGATTCTGCAGATCCCGGGATCTTTAATCGCCCAGCTGCGCTGCCCTTGATGAAACAAGGATTCCTACTGTTTGCAAAATCATGTTGGACGAGCCAAAAATATCCTTAGCGCTGAGGAGGCGGCAGGCGGGGGGAGGCAGGGAGGGAACGGGAGGAGAAAATTCCAGGTGACGCTGTGGGGCCCGGCACCACCGGGACAGGCAGAGGAAGGCCCTGGGGGGTTTGGGGTACAGTCTCCCAGGCGGGGCGCGGCAGGCTGAGCGGGAGGGACGGTGGCCTCGGGCGCCAGGGGCTCTGGGACAGGAGGAGCCAGGACGGAGGTGGGGACGGCGCTGGGGGTCCCACCGAGGGCAGGAGGGGAGAGGCTGTGTGGGCGCAGGGGCCCACGGGTGGGGCGGGGAGGGCGGGGCTGGGCGGCTCAGCCTCCACTGTGGTCCGACCGCAGCGGCTCTGGCACCGAGGGGGTCTGTCCCTGCACCAGGACGGAGCTTTCCTGCAGCCTCAGAGGACCCGGAACAGGAACGTCTGCTCCTCGGAGGGTCGCTCTGACCCGACGCTGGGGCGGGAGGCCCCGTGCGCGCCGCCGTGAGACTGGGCGTCCAGATCTGCGCCGCGTGGGGGCAGAGGCTGCGTCCTCTGGGGTTTGCACGGCCGACCCTTCCCAGTCCCTCACGTCCGCCCCGAGGGGGTGCTGCCCAGACCAGGACGGCCCGTGCCCCCGCCCCGCCCCAGCCCCCTGGGCGCCCCGCCCGCCCTACCTCGCCCACTCCTTGAGCTCCCTGTGGGACAGCGAGTGTCCTTCCCGGAGGGTCACCACCGCCGTGACCCGCTGGCCCCAGGTCATATCCGGAACTCCGATCACGGCCACGTCTGAGGACAGAAGAGCAGGATGGGCTGTGGGGACACGCATGGCCGCTGCGGGCTGGACACCACCAGACCGCGCAGGGAGTGGGGACACGCGTGGCCACTGCGGGCTGGACAACACCAGACCGCGCAGGGAGTGGGGACACGTGTGACCACTGCGGGCTGGACACCACCAGACCCCGCAGGGAGTGGGGACACGCATGGCCGCTGCAGGCTGGACAACACCAGACCGCGCAGGGAGTGGGGACCCGCGTGACCACTGCGGGCTGGACACCACCAGACCGTGCAGGGAGTGGGGACACGTGTGGCCGCTGCGGGCTGGACAACACCAGGCCGACTGCGCAGGGAGCGGCGGGTGGCGTCCAACTGCGCTTGTGGAGGCCCCTGCGGTGGGAGGCCTCGGGAGGCTGCTGTGCTGCCCGCGTGGGGCTGGCGGGTCCTGCAGGGAGGGGTGGGGGCGCCGCTTGGGGGCTACGCATTCCCGGGGCTCAGCCTTCCCGCCGTTCGGCTCTCTGTTCGGGGCCGGGTCACCCCGGACACGCTCGCTAGCCACGCCGCCAGTGGACCACGCAGACGAGACGTGCGTTCCTGCCCGGGCCTGGAGCCGGGTCTCGGTGGCAGCTGCGCTCCCGAGGTTCCAGCAGAGCCCACGTGCTGTGGCCAGGGCAGGAGTCCCTGGGGCAGGTAGCAAAGGGTCACCTTGTCCCCGGCAGTGCGAGACTCAGCGTGGGGACAGGGCCGGCCACTCACCTGTGATGCTGGGATGGCCCAGCAGGTGCCGCTCCACCTCCAGGGCGCTGACCTTGTAGCCCCCGCTCTTGATGATGTCCACGGAGGTCCGGCCCCGGATCCAGTACACGCCGTCCTTGAACACGGCCGTGTCCCCTGAGGAAACCCACGTGTCTGGTCACGGGTGAGCCGTGAGCCCCTGGCAGTCACCACACGTGTCCCAAGGTGGGCCGTGTGCTGGGCCCTGGGCCTGCCCTTCCTGTGGGGCCCCTGCTCGGCTCACATGCCCCCCACTCTCAGTCCGTGTGTCCCCAGGGGCCGCGGCACTCCCAGCAGGGCCCAGAGCCCACCGGGACCCACGGGGGGCCGTGAGCCTTGCGGGGCCGTGAGCGCCCACCCAGGAAGGGCCGGGCTCCTGGCAGCAGCAGAGAGACGAGAACCCTGGGCTGTCCCGGTGGGGTGGGTGGGTGTTCCCACGTGCAGTGACGCCTGACGGACTGACAGTCACGGGCGCCGCAGGGGACCTGGCGCAGCGGCAGGTGACGTCTGGGGGGGGGCTCCCACGGGGGCTCTGAACCCCCCCCCCGCACCATCTCCTGGGTCCCGGCCCCGCCCCCGCCCGCTGTGACCCCTCAGCCCCCGGCTCCCGAGGGTGGCGTGGCTCTAACGGCCACTTGCGCTGCCTGCCCCCCCCACCCCCCGTCCACCTTCGGGAGACCTGGGGGCGTCTAAGGCCGTGCCCCTCCCGTGTGCGCCACACGGAGGAACACGCGCAGGCTGGCGTGGAGCACCCTCTCCTGAGCACGGCCCCTCCCTGGAATGGCTGGAGGGCAGGAGGGGGCACTGCCGCCGCCACTCCCCGGTGATGACAGAGGCGGGCACGGCCGCACCAGCCGTGGGAGGATCTGGGGTCCCACCGGGACGCTGTGTCCCGCTCCCCCTCCCCTGCGGAGGTCCCCAGCGTCCTGTGCGGCAGGGACAGCCGCGAGACTCGGTGCTGACGGGCGGGACGGGGCAGCCCAGTGGGGCCTCCTGAGACGGCGCCTGCGTCCTGCACGAGGAGCCACCGCAGTGACGGCCACTTCAAACATCGGGGCTGGGGCTCAGTGCCGCCTTGTCACCACAGCGGGAGGCTGCGGGGACGCCACCATGACAGCCCCACGGAGCCCACGGGGCGGCCCTGGCGGGAGTTGCTTTTCTGCTGCTTGAGGCGAATCCCCACGGAATTTCGAGATCCCTGAAACCTGCGGCCCTGCCTGGGGCAGAGCTCGAAACCGCCGTGAGCCCCGCAGGGCTGTGGGGACGTCCAGCCCACTGGGCGTGGAGCCCCTCGTGGGCCCAGTGGCCTGTCTTGCCCCTCGACGTGCAGGGGGGCAGGGCTGTGCGCCCGGCCGAGAACGGGGCTGGGCCTGGCGGCGTGCATGAGCCCTCGGCACGGCAGGGCTGACGCTCGGCTGGGGACGGGCCGCCGTGTCCTTGCTCCCTGAGTGGCTTCTCAACCACAGGTTTCCTTTCCTGCCCTCCTCTCTGTGGGCGCCCGGGGTTCCCCAGGGTCTGGGGCGGCTCTCTAAGGGGCCACGTCACGTGGCTTCTTCCCTGGTGCTTTCTAAGACCCCCAACCCCTCTCCTGGCCCGCTGCCCCCAAACCCGCCCCCAGAAGGGGCCGCCGTTTGCCCACAGCACCTGCCCAGTGGAGCCTGGACCACGGGGTCGGTCAGCTGAGCCCCCAGGACGCCGGGCCCCTGGAAGCGCCCATCCCCCTGCCCTGGGCAGCAGGTGCGCCAGGCTCCCAGCAGGTCCGGGGAGGTCAGAGTCTGCAGACATCGCTCTGCCCGAAGGAGTGGCTCGAGGGCGGCCCCGTGCGTGCCCTGCACGCGCTCGTGGCAGAAAGGGGCTGCGTGCGAGCGGGTGGCGGCGTCACCGTGGGCGACCTCCCCTCACCCAGCCCGCTCTCGGTCCCCTCGGTGCCCGCCGGCGGCTCACGCCAGGACCTGCGCGGCAGGAGGGGCTGGCAGGGGAAAGGGTTAAGCTTAATCCGTCCCGATTCCTGTTTAATATCACGCTCTCCCCGCAGGAGCCCACAGCTGCGAGCTGATTGCGCGCGCTCATTATGCAGCCCGTGTCGCTAATGGCCTGTGACAAAGGCGTGCGGCTTCCCGGCCCTACCCCCGAGAGCCAATTAAACACACATACTCCCTTCCTGTTTGCCGCACACCACAATGAAATTAAACTGGATTTCAAAACCATCTTCTCCTAAAGACGTCTCTTTACGATAATTAATGCGCGCTGCTCCCGCACGGCTGAAATATTCATCAGGAGCGCGGCTGCCCCACGCTCCGCCGCTGCCCCCGGCGGCCCGGCCCGCGCCCTGTCAGCAGGGTCCGTGGGGCTTGGGCTCCCCAGCTCACAGAGAGAAAAAAATCTGCAGCTTCTTATCTGAATTTAAAAATAAGAGGGCCGCAGAGCAGGTCAGGTTTCCCGGGCAGGACCACCTAGGGGCTGCGGAGGGAGGGAGGGATGGGCGGGAACAGGGGGAGGCAGCACTAAGTGTTCGCTTGCCGTCGCCCGTGGGACGCCAGAGGAGGACCTGGGCGGCCGTGCCTCACGCTGGCCACGCCCCGGCCACAGATGGGGGAGCAGGAGCAGGTCCCCCAGGCCTCCAGGCCCCTCCACCCCGGTCCCGGCCCTGCAGATGCGCATTTCCGGCACTGGCCTGTTCTGGGGGCTCACGAGTGTGCCCAGCAACCCCCTGCAACGCCCCACGCACCTGCCTGTCCTGAGTGACCAGTGCGCACCTTGCAGGCAACACCCTCGCCGCTCCTGCGCCCAGCCCGGGGCTCCCCACCCTGCCCTCGGCCTGCAGCTGGGCGATGATGCCGGCACAGACCTAACCTGGGGCCCTAGTCACCTACTGCTCCGCCCCCTCCACTGCCGCGGAGCTGGGTCCTACCTGTTTTGAACCAGCCGTCCGAGGTGAACGCGGTTCTAGTTTCTTCTGGTTTGTCCCAGTACTCTCGGAACACGGAGGGGCCCCTGACCAGCAGCTCCCCTTCCTTCTCCTCGAACCCCGGGGTCACCTGCGGAGAGAAACGTGCCGTCGGGGCCGGGCACACGCCTGCCCACGGCAGGGTCCCCACCTGCACCCGTGCACCCACACGGGCCTCGCGGGCTGCTCTCTGCCCACGAGGGCCACGCGCTTTCTGAAGTCAGGCGCTTCGTGGAAATGGTTTCAGAAACGCAGCTCTCCCCAGGCAGAGCCCAGTCACTCCAGGGCTCAGCGTTCCCCACTGTCCTTGGCACTGGGAGCCGTCTGTCACCTCACTGCTCTCGAGACAGCGTGAAAAGCAGGTCCCTCCACCTTGTTCTCCAGACCCTAAGACATCACCAGCCCAGGCCTTAGGCCCTTGGTGATCCCTTCCTGAGCCTCACAACATGGTCACTCCAGGCCTCCTGCCTGCGTGGACGTCCCCACTCCGTCTGCGTGCTTGTACATCTAGCCACCAGCTGTGGCCCCCGTGTGCCTCAGAGGGCTGCCCAGCTTACCCAGCGCCCAGGGGCCACATGGGACCTGCCCCGGCCACTGTCTCTGCCTTCCAGCGGTGGCCGCTACGCCCCTGCCAACCTGCCCTGCGGGCGTTCTCCCGGCCCGTGGTGCCTGCCACGTTCTTGGGCCTCGCAGTTACTTTTCCCACAGTCCAGCCCCTGAGACGCCGAGCACCTAATCCATTGTGTGGTTTCTGTGTCCTGGTTAGACCCAGGAGGACACACGCTGCCTTCAACTTGGAACAGAATGTCACCCTCTGGGCCAGCGTCCATACAGCCCTGCAGCCGGGAGACCTGTGTCAGCCCCTCTGTCCCTCTATGTGTGGGACACCTCATAGCCTGAGTGAGGATGGCAACCCCAGAGGAGGTGAGGCCACCTCCTTCCCGCGGGCAGGTGCACACCGACGCCAGACACCGCCTGGCCAGCCCCAGGGAAAGGCTTCCCGAGAAGGAGGACGCCACGGCACCCCGCCTGCGACACACCCGCCAGCTCCCAACGCCACGGCCGCTGGCCCTGAGTCCCACGGCTGCGGCCTGGTGCCGTGGACACGCACAGGGCAGAGCTGGGCCTCGGGACGAGACTCCGCCTACAACTCTTCTCGGCTGGAATGACACGCGCCCCATGGGCTCAACACCACACAGTCAGGCCACGCCCACCCGACCCCTGCTCACGATGACCACGAGGTCCACGGAAGGCAAGTGTCTCGTCGTCACTTTCGATTTCCCTGGGGAGAGGAGGGGAAAACGAGCCGCCAACACCAGCCCCAACCCCTGAACAGGAGCTGCGCCCTGCACAGCTGAGCGTGGCGCTGACCTCGGAACAGCAGGGTCGGCTTGACGAGGTCGATGGCACCCAACACTTTAGAGACAGGGACACAGAGGACCAGCCGCAGAAGGGCAGAGACCGAGCAGAACGAGCTCCTCGGGACACGACCATCGGCCTAAAGTCCTGCGTGACGTTTCCCTCGACTCGGACAGAGCGACCGCAGGGGCCTCCACGACTCCTCGGAAAAGCTCCAGCAAGACAAGTGACGCCCACGTCCCTTGGAATCGAGGTTCAGAGAGTCCAGGCCGGGCGCGGCGGCTCACGCCTTTCATCCTAGCACTCTGGGAGGCCGAGGTGGGCGGATTACTCAAGGTCAGGAGTTCGAAACCAGCCTGAGCAAGAGTGAGACCCTGTCTCTACTAAAATATAAAGAAATTAATTGGCCAGCTAAATATATATAGAAAAAAATTAGCCGGGCATGGTGGCGCATGCCTGTAGTCCCAGCTACTCGGGAGGCCGAGGCAGGAGGATCGCTTGAGCCCAGGAGTTTGAGGTTGCTGTGAGCTAGGCTGACGCCACGGCACTCACTCTAGCCTGGGCAACAGAGCAAGATTCTGTCTCAAAACAAACAAACAAACAAACAAAAAACAGAGAACCCAGAGCAGAGCTGGGGGCCACCAGCACGGCTGTCCCCAGGGCCCGGCTGTCCCAAGGGGACACTTGGTGGCTCCAGGCGGCACCCTCCTCCCACACCCGGCAGTCAACGTCCAGCTGTCCCTGCAGGGAGGCTCCTCTCCATGTGGCGGGCGTGGGGCTGAGGACACAGGCGCACCTGCCTGCGTGTCACTCCGACTGCTCCATCCTGACGGCTCAACAGCGGCCCACGCGGGACCCTGGCACGGCCCTCACCTGCCGGCAGCGCAGTCCTGGGGTCAGGGGCGGTGGTAGCTGCCGCCACGCTGCAAATGGCTCCTGCTTGCTGGGGACCTGCTGTCGCCAGCGACACCCGTCTCTGCTGTCAGTGGCAGATGCTGGAACGCCCCCCGGGGACTCCCGACACGAGCCCACGGACACGGCTCTGCCTCTGGGAAGACGCCGGAGCCCTGGCAGGGGGGTGGGGGCTGGGGACAGACCCCAGGTGAGGAGCGGGGACCCACAGCGGAGCCCCCACCCCCAAGGCACCCGCTCCCGCTGTGGACTTGGGAACGGCCGGGGAGGGGGGCCTGTGTTAAGAGCACCCTGGGCCGGCAGGAGAGAGTCTGACCCGGGGAACCACGCGGCGCCGGACCCCTGCGCAAGGGGCTGCCTCAGCCCCGGCCCGTCCAGAAGGCTCTGGCCACCCGAGGGCGGATGAGGCAGCAGGAGAAAGGCTGGAGAGCGGCCCGAAGCCCCGCGTCGCCGAGCGTCCCCGTGGGGACGAGGCTCTGTCTGTCTGCACAGGGAAGGGTGGCACCCGGACACACTTGTGGGGTCACAGCGGGGGCGGATCTGGGGTGCTCCAGGGGAGGACACAGTGGAAGACAGTGCGGGTCTGAGGAGAGTGCCCCCCTGCGTGCGGGGACAGCTCCTCCTGCGCAGCCTGGGCCCGGCCGCCGCGGGGCGGGGCGGGTGCGGCAGTTGGCAGATGGCGGGCCGGGGGCCGGGGTGCTGGTGGCCGTGGGGAGGGCAGGCGGGCGCGGAGCAGCCTGTGTCCAGGGCAACAGCTTGCATATGGACAAACGATGAGATAATTGGCTTTTTAAAGGGGGAAATAAAGAGAACCGAGCTCGAGGCCTAGCGGCCTCCCGCACAGCCCACTCCTCGGCAGAGCGGTCGACCCTGTGCAAAGCCTGTGGCTGCGACGTGGCCCCTCAGCCATGCGGCCACCTGTCCAGTGACAGACCCCCCCGTCACTGGCTGGTGCTCGGCTCTCGCGTAAGTGAGCGATTTGGAAAATAAAAAACACAGAAAGAGAGAGACAAAGCCTGATGTGCTCACAGGGTCTATGGCGGCAGCAGCTGGGCAGCTGCACGTGAAACACGCATCGCGGCGGGCGGGCTCGAGAGCAGCCCCCGGCCCCCCCGGCTCCTCCGGCCCGCAAGGCTCCACGGAGGGACGGGCTGACTCCCAGGCGCATCAGGGAGAGCGGCTGCGGGTCTTGGCCTGGAGCAGCCATGAAGGTGGGCCGACCCCAAGTGCAGCAGCCGGAACCTTCCCCGGGGCGAGGGGAGAAGGCGCCAGCTCTTCCGGCACCTGACAAAGCCGCACACTCAGGAAGTGGCCATAGCAGAGCGGCCAGCGGACGGTACCGGGAGGGGCTGGCCACGGACAAGCGCTCTGAGGACCCCGAGCGCTCAGGGCCGTGAAAGGCTCCGCCACGGTGAGGACCACGGTTAAGAGGCTGAGACTGAAACCAAAAGTGACCAGCTGCACGGTGCGGGCAGGGCCTCCCCAAGGGAGGCTGCAGACGGCAGGGCCGAGGGGGCTGGTCCCAAATCACCTTCGAATGAACGAAGGCAGAAAGTGACGAGCGGAAACGCGTGCCTACGTTCCACCCGTATCTTTCCGTGATATCTGATCCCAGCGACCGGGACGGTTTCTGACATTCACGTTCAAGTACATCCTATGATCTCAGCGGCCCAGACTTGTGTGAGGACGATCCCGTGACAAATGTCCTAAGTCGGAGGACCGGCCTTGCGGAAGGGTCACAGCGCTGAGCACGTGTCCACAGGACGTGGCGCGGAGGTGCTGACGACCCTACAGCATCTAGGACGGGTCGGGAACAGCCCCCACGTGGCGGCTCGTGGGCAAAATGGGAACAGCTCGCGGAAGAACGTCACAGGTTCACGGTGCTCACGCGTCGGCCACGCCTGGCACCGCAGGGACTTGTTGAGGTCCGGGTGGGGGCCGGGCAGGCCAGACTGCACGTCCCAGGGCCACCCAAGGGGAGCGAGCACAGAGGTCCCTGCAGGACGCTCCCGTGGAGGTAAAAGGTGCCGCGGAGGTCGGGCGCGGTGGCTCACGCCTGTAATCCTAGCACTCTGGGAGGCCAAGGCGGGAGGATTGCTCGAGGTCAGGAGTTCAAGACCAGCCTGAGCAAGAGCGAGACCCCGTCTCTACTATAAATAGAAAGAAATTAACTGGCCAACTAATATATATAGAAAAAATTAGCCGGGCACGGTGGCGCATGCCTGTGGTCCCAGCTACTCGTGATGCTGAGGCAGGAGGATCACTTGAGCCCAGGAGTCTGAGGTTGCTGTGAGCTAGGCTGATGCCACGGCACTCACTCTAACCTGGGCAACAAAGTGAGACTCTGTCTCAAAAAAAAAAAAAAAAAAAAAAAGGTGCCCCCAGAGGGAGGTGCATGGGACTAGGACACCCTACTGGGCAACAGCAGGTGGAGCGTCTGCAGCAGGCCTGTGGCCACCTGTACACCTGGCACCCTGCAGCCACCGACTGCCTGTGGTCCCCAGCCTGTGCCTCCCGCACCTGCACGTGGCCCTGGGACACGGCAGGCGCCTCCCGTGGCAGATGCCACTCTTGATACAGGAGAACCTGCTGCACATCAATCTGTGCTCTTGGAGGTGAATCACACAAGCAAATGCTTTAGGACCTAAGGTTACGTGCGAAAAAAAAGCGAAAATGTGTATTTGCACTCAGCTCAAAACCATGAGAACATACATGTACTGTGTGTACACAGGTGCACACACACACACACGTGCAGAAAAAAGACCCGACAGTAACCCCTAAAAGTCGACACCGCTAAGCTCCAGCCCCTGACGATGCAGCAGGACGCTGGTGGTCTGAGCTGGCGTCGCCCAGCAAGGTGAGGACGGAGGCGGGGCCCCGGCAGGTGGGCGGCAGCCCTGGGAGGAGACGGAGACTCAGGCCCCGGGAAGGCGTCCTCCCCTCCACACGGCGCGTCCCTTTCCACAGAACCTTCCGTCCCCACAAACGCTCTGGGGCAACGTCAGGGCTCCCACTGCAGGTGGAGGGTCTGACACCACCCGCCCAGAGCGGTCCCTTCTCAGCGGTCTGAGAACCGCCCGGTTTCTCTTTTTCTTTCTTGTTCTCAGGGGTACTGAGACAGGGTCCTGCCCTGTCGCCAGGCAGGAGCGCAGCGGTGCGACCACAGCTCACCGCGGCCTCCAAGCCCTGGCTGCGCGTGGAGCGAAGGGGCCGCGGGCTCCGCTCCCCTCCAGGAAGGGGCCTCCAGCCGCCGGCTCTCAGACAGCGCTCTGGGGACGGCCGCACCGGCCCTGTGACTGGACTGCAAACACTCTGGAACATGCCGTCACCAGACCTAAGTCCCTCTGTTTCACATTTAAACGGCCCGGTGCCTCTGCGTGGGCCTGCCTCACGGGGTCTCTCCGCACGGCCCCCAGGGCCCAGAGCCACCGAACGCAGGCTCCTCTCTGTCCAGGGCCCTGCTGCGGGAAGAGCCGCCTGCAGAGAGAAACAGCCAGGCTCTCGGGCAGGAGCGTCACCTGGCGGGAACGGCAGCTTCCCACGGCAGGTGCGAAGCAGCTAAAGTTTGCTTTAAGACAGAAACACCCCCACGCCCACCCCACGCCTTCCTCTGGTGACATTTCCGCCACTCCTGGCAGAACAGGCGCCCGTCGTGCAGGTGGAAGCTGTTGCCGCCGGCACCTGGAGAGGCTGTGCAGCCGTGCGGGGCCTGCTCCTCTGCGCGTCTCTCTGCCAAGGCGTGAGCCAGGCGCCTCCACACTCCCCCCACCCCACCCCCGCGCTCTGCTGGGAGCATTCTGTGGGAGCCCTGTGTGCATGGGAGGGGGCTGGGTGGCCCACACTGGGGCGTCCGACCGAGAGCTGGGACCGGGCTGTGGCCGACAGCCCCAGAGCCAGGCAGGGCGTGTCGGGGACGGACAGCCACACCGGGGCCCTGGGGCCGCGGCAGGGGGTGGGGGCAGCCCTCAGGCGGTGTCGGGGAGGCCCTGAGGCTCTGGGCGGAGACCACGGCGGGGTCGGGGCCCTGAGACCTCCAGGAGGCGGGGCCCAGAGAGTAAGAGCCCGGGCAGGTGCGCAGGTGACCCCCCACACGACGCGGCTAGCTGTGGGCCCGGGAGAGACGTTCCCGTGGGTGAGCCACACGCCTGCCCCTGCCTCCACCCACAGCCTTTCACAGGACCGACGTCCCTCTGCTGAGCTCTGGCCCTCAAGCTGCCCCAGGGGCTCGAGTGATGGCAGGGAGCCCTGGAAGGCGACGGCAGCCGCGCTGGCCGCAGAGGAGGAGCGGATGAGAGAGGACTCGTGACCCCTCCATCTTTCGAAACCTTCTCGGAGTGACATCACCCAGTACACGTGGCGTCCGGTGTGGACGGTGGCTTCAGGGAACGTAATTTTCCTTTAAATCAACATTCCATTTCCCAACAACCCCTAAGCTCTTCCCCATGACTTGGGCTCCCTCCCAACGAGCAGACTCTCAACTACAGAAACCCTCGTGGAGACGAGACAACGCCTGGCACGGGTCAACGTCCCAGTGACTCACGGCTCAGAGCTACGGCCGACTCCTACAGAGGCGTGTCTGGGAGCCTGCTCGGCTCCGCGAATCCGCCGCACCCGCCCCGGGGGTCGTGGGTCAGTGTCTGCCGCTTGGGCTGGGCGCGGCCGTGCCAGGTCAGCACTGTTAGCCAGACGCCCGTGTGCTGTTGTGTCTCAGGCTGCCCTTGGCCGCGTCAGAGCTTCCCCGACAGACGGCGCCGCTGGGAGGGTCCCTTCGTCCCCTGTCCTGTGCACGACCGGGGCACACAGGGCAGGCGAGGACGGGACAGGAGCGCGTCCCCTCAGCACCCAGCCCGCATGTCCACCACACGGGAGGGCCGGCCCGTGAGGAGTGGGCCTCCATGGGGAAGAGACGGCTCGTGTGACCGCACCGGGTGGGCTTCCAGCCCTGCGGCGGAGTCCCCCTCCCCCCCGCCCCCTGCCAGCCAACAGGGCATCGGCCTACCTTGGTCTCCCTCTCGTTGCCCTCGGCGTGGACCACGTAGGGGCTGCCTTCCTTCTGCGGGTTCTCAGACACGATGCGCACCTCCACCCCCGGTAGCGGGGTCCCCACGGAACCTACGCAGGGAAGAGGGGCAGAGTCAGAGAAGTGTGGAGGAGAGACCCGCACGGGGCGCTCGCACCCTGGCCAGGACTCCTGCGTGTTCGGCCGCAGGCTGTGCGTGCCGCAGGTCAGCGAGAGCGACCGGGTGACGCTATGACGACGGCCCACGGCGGCCGCGGCAAGTGGTCGCAAGCTCGCAGGGCACTGGCAGGCTCCAAACGCTTCACACGTCACTTCCCAAGTGATTCCGGGGGCCTCGGGACCACTGGTGGGCTCTAGTGTCGGCTCCTCGTTAGCTGCACCCGCCTGGCCAGGGAGCACAGGCCATGCCGGGACAGCCTGGGGCCTGCAAAGTGAGAGGCGCCAGAGGCCCAGGCTGCACCCGAGGGGCTCAACCACACGACACTCCGGGACAGCGAAGGGCAGGAGCAGAGAACAGGCCGTGGGCCTGGGGTGGGGGGCCGCGTGCGACCACAGAAAAGGGGAGCCCCGAAAGGGTCTCTGAGGCGAGGAACTGCCTCTGCCTTGATTACGATGGAGTTTTCAAACTCACAGAACCGCCGCCCAGAGCGTGAGCGCCATGCTGCGTGAGCCCAGGTGGCCAAGCAGACACGGAGACAGGAGGGCTCACCCCACTGTCACTTCCAGACTGAGCCTGCTCTGGACAGGCTGGGGTGGACTCGACGCCCACCGTCCCGCCCGCTGCCACGGGCACGGCGTGGCACCCCGGCTCTGACGCCCACGGGAGGCCCTGCCACTGCTGAGTCTGGAGTGGGCAGAGCCCTCGAGGCGTCCTGCCCTGAGAACACCTGCCAACACCTGTGTCCCGGGCGCCTGCCCGGGTAACGCAGGCAGGCACCTGCGTGAAGGGCACCCTCCCACCGTGCCCCGGACACCTGCCCAGAGGGGACAGGTCCTAATAGACGGCGAGGGCCCCAGAGGGCTCCGCTGGCCGGTCCCCGGGGGCCGGGACTGGCCCACCTGAGGGCTCAGGGTGGAGTGGGGGAGGGGCGCCGCGGCGGCAACTGCTCCTACCTGGCAGGCGTGCCCCGGTGAGGGGGCCAGACAGGGCCATGCCGACCTCCGTCATCCCGTACCTCTCCAGCAGGGTGTGCCCCGTGATGCCCTTCCACTTCTCCAGCACGGGCAGGGGCAGGGCGGCCGAGCCCGAGACCATCAACCTGCACGGCACAACCAAACGCAGCCTTAGCTTCTGACAGGGCTCGGCACTCGTGCGCAAAGACGACGCCTCTCTGTACGTATTGATACTCGAAAACAGAGACCACGTAAAGCACCCTTCGCTCAGTATCACCATTTTTTTTTTTTTTTGAGACAGAGTCTCGCGTTGTTGCCCAGGCTAGAGTGAGTGCCGTGGCGTCAGCCTAGCTCACAGCAACCTCAAACTCCTGGGCTTGAGTGATCCTCCTGCCTCAGCCTCCCGAGTAGCTGGGACCACAGGCATGCGCCACCATGTCCAGCTAATTTTTCCTCTATATTTTTAGTTGGCCAAATAGTTTCTATTTTTAGTAGAGATGGTCTCGTCTGTTGCTCAGGCTGGTTTCAAACTCCTGACCTTGAGCGATCCTCCCGCCTCGGCCTCCCAGAGTGCTGGGATTACAGGCGTGAGCCACCACACCCGGCCCGTCTTGGTTCTTTACAGGCGGCAAATTGTGCCACTGCGCACTCCACACCCTGTCAGCTCTGCCAGCCCCAGGCGTGGCCCCAGAGGGCGGGTCCTTCCCTGGAACTCAGGGCCGTGGCAGAGCAGCGGGATGGGAGCACAGGCCAAGTGTCTCTATAGATAGGGCGCAGAGCGATGGCACTTGGGCAAGAACACGCCCCCCTGCCCAAGCATTTGTCGCGATGACCCAGAATTCGCTCCGAGCACGAAGGTGCTTCCTCCGAGCGGCACGGCGGCCACGGGACATCTGCACGAAGCGCATCTGAGCTGGACTCAAGCTCCCTGGCGTCCAGCGAGAGCCTGTTCCTCCCTGCTGGGCGCTGCCCCGTCACCTCTTCCGCTTGCGACAAAGGGAAGACATCCCAACCCACCCGGGCCTCCGCGGGTAACGCAGGTCCCTCGGGTGTGTGGGGACTCGCGGAGCTACATGTTCACACCTGCGCTTCCCAGTTAGTGACTCACACGTTGATAAAAAGAGGGAGGAGAAACCCGCAGTGTCTGCAGGTTCGCCTGGGAACCCAGAGACGCAGCCTGGCGACCTGAGGGGTTCACAAAGGAGCCAGGGCAGGAGTGGCACATGGCCCAGTCGGGGAGACGGACACACGGCAGGCGGGAGCCGGGGACAAGAGTGGACAGGTCAGTGGTTCCCTGTCCTTACGCTGGTCCTACTACAGTGCAGGCAGAGACAGAGACAGAGACACAGACAGACAGATGGCAAGGTAGAGAGACAGACGGAGACATGGAAGCCAGAGAGACAGACAGGAGGTGGATGGAGAGAGAGACAGATAGATACATAAGACAAACAGACTGTGAACTAAAATGCTCACCCCCCCACCGGCTGACTGAATGGACCCCCTTGTGGCCAAAGAAATATCCTAAAGCAAAATTGCCTGCCAGGAGGAGGGAGGTCAGACGAGCCTTATCATGCCCCCCTCCCTTCTTGGAGACTTCCTTTGTAAGCCATTAACAGGCCTAAGGGTATGCAAGACAAACCTGCAGGCCCTCAATTTGTTCAACAAATGGTGGCTTATCTCTGGAAAACAGTTTATGTTAAAACATTCCAAGCCTTTAGACAAAGCTTCATGTCTTTAGCCAATTACAATGTGAAGAATCTTTAAACCCACCTATAACCTGTAAGCTCTCGCTTGGAGATGGCCCACCTTTTTGGGCCAAAGTAATGTATGCCTCCCACGTATTGATAGATGGCTTTACCCGGAACCCCTGTCTCTGAAATGTATAAAAACCGAACTGTAAGCCAGCCACAGTGAGTCCACTTGCCCGAGGCCTCTTGGCAGTGGCTCCGGGTCATGGTCCTCAAATTTGGCTCAGAATAAATCTCTTTAAAATTATTTTACAGAGTTTGGCTTTTTTCCATTGACAAGATGGACACAGATACAGACACAGAATACAGACAGAGACAGAGATATAGGATACGGACAGACGGACGGAAATAGAAATATAGAATACAGACAGACAGAGGTACAGATATAGAATACGGACAGATGGAGACAGATACAGATATAGAATACAGACAGACGGATGAAGGTAGAGATATAGATTATGGACAGATGGAGAGAGATACAGACATAAAATACACATGGAGGGAGACAGAGACAGAATATGGACTGATGGAGGTAGAGATATAGAGCACAGACAGATGGAGATTGAGACATAGAATACTAACAGACGGAGGTACAGACATAGACTATGGACAGAATACAGACATGCATACGGACTGACAGAGAGAGGTGTACGGATATGTCATTTGGAGGGAATGGAAAACACTGCTCCCTAAAACTCAGTAGTACTGAGTCCTCAGAAGTAAGTTGTACAAGCTGATCCTCAAGACTCTCTGAGCGGGAAAATGGGCTCTTTTCGTTTACCTAATTTTTTCTTCACACACTGCACGCACGAAATCTCGGACGTGTGGCTGGGTGAAATGTTTGTCATAGTAATCCATCAGTTTGGCGTATATTGTAGGCACGGCCATAAATACATTAATCCGTGGAGTTTCAGAACTTAAGAACTTTTCCCAAACCTAAAGCGAAAAAAGGAAGTATCCATGTAAGAGACTAGGAAGCCAACGCACAGTGTCAGGTGTTTCCTGGTCCCTGTCAGTGTTTGTTTTTTTGTTTTTTTTAGACAAAAACTGAGGCCACTTAGGTGACGTGTCCAAGACAAGCCACAAGTGGCAGAGCTGTGAGTCTCCCCGAGCCTCTCTAATTTGAAGCTGCTAATCTTAACCGTGAGGGGTCACTCCTTCCCTAGAACAAGGGGGGTCTCAGCACTCTCGGACAGTGCTCCACGCTGTCCGACGGCATCTGGAAGAACCACACTTTAAGGGGAACTGGAACACGTTCCGTATTCAGAGTGGTGAAGGCATTCAGAATCACTTAACAAGGGCTAAAGAAACAGATTTTTCTTTTCCAACTTCAATTAAAAAAAAAAGGCTTGCAGGTAGGATATATAATTAATTTCCAGAAACCTAAGGGGCTGTTACATAACAAAAATTGTTCAGAACGTCATCTAAGTAACAGAACTATGACAAAGGTAGGAAAAGGGAGATTTTTAATAATTTTTTTTT